TAAGGTTGAATTATAAAAATCCATCAGAGTTTAGAATTTTTACTCGTTTATGATCGCTCTAAGAAGAATCTAAGCCGAAGATATGTACGTTCTGTGGTATTTCATAGGTAGCTACTGATTACAGTTTACGCATGGACTCAAAATACAATTTTAAAACCCAAAATAGATGACAAACAAATTACTTCAATTTATTCAATTTCAGACATAAGTACGATTCAAAGATATCAATAGAAAATCATTTATAAAGAAAGAGAAATCTTTGGTTTAGATGTAAATAGTTGAACATTTTGTCTAATTAGCAAATACTAATTTTTGTAGATAAAGCCATTTATTTACACGTTTAGGAGAAGTACATGCAACTTGCCTTGAGGCAAAATGCTACTTACAACTAGTTTCATTTTGTATTTTTTTATTAACCTCTTCAATTTTCCACTATATGATTTCAATGTTCTGAGTGATATCAACATAAAATTCAATTCTCATATTGCATGACATGATACAACTTAAGATCAGTGAATTACACAATTTTGAAGAAATTCGTTTACATATTCATTTTAGAACTAATAATTATTGATATTATATATTTGTATGGCTTTTTATGAATTGTCTTATTTTTGGAGCAGCAATATTTGTATACACTCCAGGTTTTTTAGGTTTCGCACAACCATTTCCCCACGAAACGATACCGATCAGTACTCTGCCCTCATTCACTAATGGTCCCCCACTATCACCTATGCAAGCGTCCATTCCGCCATCAGGATAACCAGCACATATCATGCTGAAAATAAATCATAAATAAAAGGATTATTTAAAAGGTTTCTCTCATCAATAATGAAGTTATAAACTATGCTTGGGGGCACTTTAAGAATCTAATAAATTATAAGTAAAACAGATTTCTTTCATTAACTTCCCGAAGGAGAAGTTTGTTTTCGTCAAAAAATCCGATTTGCTAATTTTATGTTCTCTCGACGTTTCAAGCCATTCTGAATCGAATGAGACCAAATTTGGAAAAAATATATGTATGTGTGTGTGAACATATTTTTGACGTTTTGTCGATGTTTTCACAACATTGACCGACTAGGAAACGGCTGGACCAATTTCAAAAGATTAAAAGCTAGACAAGCACTCGCATTGGTTAAATTTTTTATATAATCGGTTGAGCGATTTCTTTGTAATTAGCAGAAAAGTGAAAAATTTTCAGTCCACGTTTCAGGCAAAAATTCTGAATCAATTTTAAAGAAAATTCAATTGGAAAACGCAATTGTAAGATTTTTTTTATATAATTTTTGAACAGCAATCAGAACCTGATTTGACCATGATTTTGACTTAATACTAGTCTGTTTGACAGATGGAAACCCAATTTTAACTGCTTACCTACGGGCGAGCCCAAGATTTAACTGATAGCGAAAACTTTATTTTCGAAATAAATAGCTATCTAACTATCTCAATCTCAAATTCGGTTGATTAAGTCAATTATTTCGCAAAGTCTGTGCAATTTGCCTTAAGGCAAAATGTCACTTTCCACTAGTTGTTTTGGTATTGAACAATACGAAAAAAAAGAACAGTTGATAAATATGCTCAATGTATTAGTAATTATTAGCGTCCTATTCTCAGTATTTCTAATACTAAACATTTCTTAGTCTACAAGCTGTCTTAATAATAAGTTTGCATGTATGTATGTATAGATACATTTGTAGATATCTAAATCCCAAGTGTGCACCTAAAATTATGTATTCCTATATATATGCATTTAGATATTAGGGCGTGTCGAATTAAAGGTCACTTAGGCACATATGATTTTCGGATTTTAAGGATCAAAATCAGATACTTTTCTCAAGAAACCATACCTCTAAAATGAATTTTGAAGCCCCGTGCATTGACCCAAAGGTAAGTGTTAGATTTTGAAAAACCTTTCAGGGGGGGTCCCAGGAGGTAAACGACGGGCATGGGTGGATCGGCCTTGCAAAGTTAGTGGGTGTCGGTCATACATTTGGACGCAGATTGGGGTACTCTAATTGTGCCAAAATGGAATTTTTCAAATTTTAACCCTTATATTTGGATCAGGACACGGGACTTCAGAACTCATTTTAAAGATATGGTTTCATCAGCAAAGTATCTTATTTTGATCCTTAGTATCCGAAAATCATATGTGCCTATGCAACTTTTTTGACCCATACAAATCGACTCGCTCTAATAAGAATAAATAACAAATTTATTATGCCGTATAACGTTAATTACCACTACCCACAATTAAAACTTACTTATCTGTTATTCCATTGCTGGTTGAATAATATTCATCACATTTTTCCTTAATAATATATGGTACATTAACGCTTCTCAATTCTGTTGTGATATCTCCACCAGTCTATAAAAAACAAATAATTTAAATGAATTAAACATAATAAATTAATACTTTTGACATATATTGTAATCGCTTTTATACTGCGGTACTAGGGCTACTTACAAAAGGGTAACTCGTAACAGGAGTTTTTTGATATGATATTGAAATATTTGTCTCCATTGGACATGTAATATAAACCTTTGTGCGTAATATTGTTGTAACTACTGTTTCGAAGAATGTGGCAATAAACTGAAGTGTGCAGGTCCGTCATTTTTGACAAGTAATATAAATTTTGCTACCATAAAATTTTGGTTGTCTTATTATTGTTGACTAATTTTATATTTATATGTTTTATATGTCATCAAATTTATCAATTTTCATAATTTAACAGTTTTTCTGGTTGCTAAATTGTATAGATAGTTACCTCGATTAATGTAAAAAAATCACATCTGCGGTTAGTTGAAACAAAACCTTGGGGCTAGTTACAACATACAAGAATTATATACAGCTTTGATTAAAGAAGATTGGATGAATGTATAGTTTGTGAAATGTAGGTATAAGTAAATTATTTTACAGGAGACACTATTTCTATCATACATAATAAGATAATAATTTTAGTGTACGTTGATTTTAGAAAAAAATTATATTAAGTGAGACATTATATATTTTATTTGTATTAATTATAGTTTGTGTTAATATATAAAATATTTAGAAACAAGTCAATTTTCTCAAAAATGAGTGAAGAATAAATTATCGAAGGCATTATTGTCGATTTATAGTCTATAGACACTCAGCTTCTTGAGACACCAACTCCAAGAAGACTGAAGAAGAAGCTGCCCAAAGATAATATAGAGGACCCTTAGAACTACCACAACTTTATATGAACAGAATTATTGTCGCTATTCTTTCCTATAGATATCACAACTAACCACAAATATGGGGAAAGTTATAACACCGCACTTTTTCTAGAAATTGATTAATTGTTAAAAAATGAACAACAGTTGCTGACTTATTCTTATATGATTTGGTGGAGGAATAATTACAGTAACTATCCATTTTTATTTCATAGAGATATAATCAAAGGATCTCAAGATAGTTTGATTAAAAAAAATTGTTACAGCAAAGCTCTAATAGCTCTCTTACTTCGGGTAATCATATAAAAAATTTTATCACCAATGTTTTTCATGCAAATTTGAGTAAATAAAAAACCAAGCCATATTTAAGCCTGATTTTTAGACTTTTCAGATATTATCATCTGAAATTTAAAAAAATAATTTAAATAATTAGTATGTAATACAAAAATCTGAATTACCCTTGCAAATTAAAAAAACATGCAAAATCTTAAATATTACACTATTAAAAAATTGCTATATGAATACAATAGCATTCAGAACTACGTATTCTTTTCGAGAAGTCTACCAAGTTGTTAACCATTCTTGTGTCTAAATTATATATTCAATAGTAAAGTGCATATATAGCACCAATATCATCGAAAAACTATTTTAATTTGATCTATGATCTCAACTGAAAGTTTGCTATCATACTATTTGATATCAAACGTTTGGGAAGTTCGATTCAGAACCGAGCTGCTACTAATCCACGTTTTTATCATTAGATTAGGCACTGCTGGCTTTAAATTTGTGCTATTATTTAAACGTTATAGCAGTTCTTACCAAAATTGAATAGTCTATCTAAATGTTTGTTAAAAATTTGATTCACCGTTCTGGATCCCCATCCAGTAACCGTTAACATTGCTCCATCCAATGTTTTTACTCCTTCATCCACAATTTGAATTGGACGCACCGTGCAGGCAGTGAATGAAATTGGTTCGGCGAGGCGAATCAGAGCAACGTCAAAGTCTACTGTATAAGTATCATATTCTGGGTGTAGAATAGTCTCTTTGACTTTGTATACTTTTCCGCCTTTTTCATGTGTACTACTTCCAACTCGAACTGAATATCTTTTATTGGCATTTGTTTCGCTGTTAGAAAAAGAATGATACAAGATTAAAAAGAAAAACCAGCGGTGAATGGTATTGTGCCTTAAAGCAAATTGAGTCAATAATCAATAACAATTAATCAATGATTAATAACAATTGTTTTAAATATTTTCGAATTATTGTTATAAAAATCGTAATTCGTATTCAAAGATCTAATATAATGAAGGTGCGTATATTTGGGAAATAGACTGTATATATTATGTTTACAAGACGATCTCATTTTATACATCTAATTTTTATTATATAAACATTCTGAAATTTAATTGAATAATTAGGGGAAAGCCCCGAGTTTAAAATAACCTGCATTGAACACACGTGTATGTTTGACTAACATTTCTAGATATTGCAAAAAAATCACTATTTATCCACTCTTTTGGCTGGGCCCTCAGCTGGAGCACTCATCATAAGATTTTCATTCTTTGACTGGGAAATACGAAAAATGAGGGTATAGTGACCGTTAGCACTCATACAGAACAAAATTAAACTAGTGGGGCGCATGGCATCGTGCATTAAGGCAAATTGCTGGAACTTTCCGTAATACAAATTATTTTTTTTAAAAAAGATTAACATTTTTGAAAAAAAAAATACTCTGAAATAATTAGATTTTTGAGAAACTATAAATTTTTGACAAAGATTTACTTTTTTTTTGATAAAAAAAGACTTGTTGAAGAAAAATATATTTTGAATTATTTTGGAAATTCTGAACTTTTTTTCAAAGCTATCGTACTGCTTTAACTGCATAGAGACGAAATATCGAAGCGCGTAAGCGCCGGAACCCATAAGAATGTAAACAAAATTTATATATTGTTAAAATCTCTATAAAATATCTGATAATTTGAGGTGCATATATCTAATGATCATTTTTGACCGCCAAATGGCATTTTTTTTTTACTTTTTTTACTGGATCTCCAAAACCGCTGAACCTGCCTTCGTGAAAATTAGATCAGTTCTTCATCTTGTTAACGCAAGTAAAGTATTTTTTTGATTTATTCAAATCGCACGCTCCGTTCTCTTAAAAACTGAGTTACCCTTTTTGGCACTTTTTGTCCCATATCTTCGGAACGGCTGGACCTGCCTTCGCCAAAAACTAATCAGCGCGTCTCCTTGTCAATACAAATCGAATGTTTCTTGAATATTTATATTTTGAAATGAAAAAAATTATACTCGCTTAAGTAATACGAGTTAAATAGTGTCCGGCGCTAGGTGCCGTCCGGCGCTAGGTGCCGTCCGGCGTTACGGGACTTCCCTCTAAATTTGTTTCAGCTATATAAGAAACTTCTTAAAATCTCTAAATTTTTTGAATAACTTTGTATATGTGAAAAATTTCAAAAACTTTTTAGATATTTTTAAAAAGAAATGATAGCAAACATTTTTTTTTTATTTTGGATATTTTACCAGAAACTAATCATTTCTTCACACCGTCACCACAAGTAATATGTTTTCTGAATCATTCTAATCGGATGCTCCATTCTCTCAAAGAGTGATATTTACGAATTTCCGATAATGAACAAAGTTATTGTTTATTGAGTTTTACATTTTTTTACGATTTTTAAGCTATAAATTTTTAAGGTTAAATAAAAAAATCTTAAACATTAAGAATAATGTTAATAACATTTTTCAGGTGAGCAGCGTCAAATACTTCCAGAGAGCATTGGATGTCGATATAAGGTAATTATTTGCACTATACTTTTTTGATTTAGAACGCTCATTATTGATGTATTATGTTGTATTATTGTTGTATTAATGTTTACATTATTTATCCATAATTTCATAAATTTAATGCAAATAATCATAATTTTATGAAAAAAAAAATCTGAATATTTTTAATGAAGTCATTTTTATATGTATCACCATTGCATATATAATCGGGATTATAAATGAAATAATAGAAGAAAATATACTTACTTTTCAATGCAATGTGCAGCTGTTAAAATCCAATTTTTGTCAATAATTACTCCACCACAATAATGATTTCCGAATAATAAAAGTGATACCTGCCAGCCATGTTGCGCTATATTAGCTTCTTCTCCACCAACAATTCGGTTCTCTGCTTAAGATTTATACAGTAAAAATTTATTTGAAATATTCCTACATACAAATCTATATATGAATACTCATAGATTTTTAGCGCTGATGGTCGTATCATCCTTCGAAAATTTCTAAAAAAAACTCACACTTTTTTTCTACTTACAAATTAATATGTGTTGGCTACAATGATTATTTGCAGATTGTATAAATTTAGAAGTTAAAGTAATAAACTTCAAATGAATATTACATATATTTTTTTATTAATTTTCTTTTTTTTTAACAAACTTCATTCTGTAAGTCAAATGAGTCGCGTATTGTTTTACTAAAATTGATTTTATAAATTCAATTATTTTATCAAAAAATACATTATAATCATAGACCATTGTCACTTAAATAGAGTTTTTCAAATTAAATAAGTAATTATATGGTTTTATCCTATTTGAATTTAAATTATGATTTGAATTTGTATTAAAATTTTATAACGTTTGATTTGTGGAGATATAAAAGAAAGTGAAAATTCATGCAACTGAATAGAAGATACTAGTTAGGATTTTATTTAGTGGCACATCATTAGCGCCATTTTTAAAAATATTTTATTATTTATTATTTAAAACGTCTCTGAAAAATCCAAAAAAACTAATTTACAAACGAACTCAAAATTTACACAAATTTAAAATTAATTCGAAAACTCAGCATTAAGCTCATAGAGGCATATCATATCATTTATAGATTTCTTATTATTTAGTTTTATTGCATCGATAGTAAAAATATCAATTATATTGTTAATTCATTACGTACCTTTACAGACGATCAAGGGAAATAAAAATGAAACTAGTATCAATAATTTCTGCATTTTATTCTGATTTTCACATATCACTCAATTACATGTCTGCGACTATAGACGTATTTTATAAATGAAAGAATATGGTTTGAATCCACTTTAGATAAGGAAATCAACGGAAATGATATGTTGAGATGTTGCTTACTGATACGAAATACGAGTCTATAGATTAGACTGATTACTTTATAATTGCAAATTGTGTTCATGAGAAATCCTGTTAACTACACTTTATCAACGTTTTAATATTTAGTTTTATACATGAGCAATTCTATTTATGAACTCTCTTATTTGTGGTGAAGCAATTCTTGTATAAACTCCAGGTAGTTGGCCACATCCTGATCCAAAAGATACGATTCCGACTAATATTTCATCTTCTGTTACTAATGGCCCTCCACTGTCACCTTGGCAAGAATCTTTACCTCGAACACCAGCACATACCATACTAATAAAGAAGTTTTGTTCAGAAAAAATTAACATGTTTACGAAATACGACATATTCACATTTCAATACTAATGTAGCAATATTTGTAATTGAAATAGAGTAACTAGGTAATTCACATTTTTGGTTGACATGCAGGAAAATTTATATAAAAGTCCTGAAGGGTGGTCTTTAATATGGATATTTTGTATTTGTATTTGCTTGCAGGGGCTTAAATGCTTCCAAATTAATAGAAAAAAGATTCTCTAAATTTTAAGCTTTTAATATTAGCTTTAAGATAGTTCGCATTCCAACCAAAGTTTCTTATAGAAAAAAGGGTAAGATTCCATTTCTTTCGTAGAATTTAATAACTTAGCGACCAGTGAATCAAAACGAATAAAAGAATAACATTGCTATTTGCTTATTTTGATTATAAATAAAAAAACAGCAAAAATGTGATGTATTTTATGGCATAAGTATTTACTTACGAAGAAAAGCCAAGAAACTTTAGTTGGACTGCGGACTATCTAGAGTTAATATTAAGAGCTAAAAATTTCAGATTTTTTTTCTAAATTAATTTGGAAGCATTGGAGCCTCTGGGAGCAAAGAAATTCGAAAATATTCATATATATATATATATATATATATAATTATTTATTGTGTGTTATTTACAATTTCAATCTTACTTGCTCGTAATAATATCATCATTTGCATCATAGAGTTTTCGACATTTTTGTTGATCTACAATTGGAACTGTAACTTTTCTCAGCTTATTTGTACCGGTGCCATGATGCTGAAAATAATGTAAAACTTTCACAAATTTCATTCTTAAAATAACAAATTATTAACTAACGATATATAAATGTATATGAAACTTATTGATATGATTCAAATGTGTATTTTAGTTCGTTTCAAATATTACTAGATGTATATTTTATGTTGTTTAATATCACATTATAAGTGAAGATCAATCAAATCAAGGTAACTCTGATATTGCTATCGATCAAACAGATAGAATACTATAAATGTTTAAAAACAATATAAAATTGACTATTAATGCCAGTGTCTAGCAAAACATCTAACATATAAATAAAAAATAAAATTTACATTAGTTATAACATTAAAAATTTAATTTATGTTAAGAAATCATTTATTTTAAGGAAAGACAAAAAGCGTACATATATTATTTTGTATTTAGTAACGAGTTCATTTTGTAAAGATTAATAAATTTAATATGATAGTTAATATGATATAGATGTTGATAACTGTTAATAAATTTCTGGTGTACAACATCATGTATATAGTAGATATTTTATACACAATTATTGCTGGCTATATTGTTACGAATTTACTTATATTTATAAAATGTACTCGTTCGTAGGAAAGTGGCTAGAACGACTAGAACTAAATCAGAGGATTCATCACGGTTCAAACAGCCTGTTGTTAAGTGACTACGGTTTTCACTTAATATATAACATTTTTTTAAATTGAGAATAGTCCCTAATCAGCATTGCTGCATCAATAAATATTCACCGAATTACAGAAATTGTAATAATAATTCAGCACACAGAGATAGGACAGTTGTTTGGGTTTCCATCTGTAAAACCGGCTAGTATTGAAAATAGTATTAAGTCAAATTAGTGCAACAGCCTATAGGACCTTTAAGTTCTGATCAATATTCAAAATATAAAAGTAATATAGAAAATATTTACAAATAACTAACTCAAACAATAATTAACGAAATGATACATGAGTAGTATGTTTTTAGTTAATTGTAACAAAAGTTTATAACAATTATTTAAATAATAACCTAATTTAATTTTAAGCATTATTTACTAAAATTTTCTGTTACTCAGGATCCTGATGTATGTAACCCCCATGTATGTAACCCCCACAGGTAATTACAGGTACTTTAGCGGACGATTGGAGTGTTGAAGTAAGCCCTTCGTAATGTGGTTGCAAGGCTAGAATATAGTATTTGGCAGCCATTGCATACCCCAAGAAGGGGGCTTCAACCCCAATTGTCACAATATGACATTTTCACAATATACATCTCATTCTAATTTGGAACCAGAACCTAAAACTATTGTCCCCATATTATAACCCATTTTCCAAACTTAATGTTACAGTTTATCACTTATAACTTTCAGTTTCTAATTCTTATTATTTAAAATGATCGAAATCACATTACACGTGGAACACCATGAGGAACTCATATAATTACTAACTAATAGTTTTATTTCTTGTTGATATGTCCAACAATCTATGAGATTATCAGCCAGGAGTGGGAAAATAGAAATTTTCGAATAATGCATTCGTGGGTGTTCTATGGCATAAATGTTAAGCACACTGCCTTATGTAGACATGATCGTGAGGTCACATTGTCCCCGATGTGGAGCGGCTATGTCCATTTTCTCTTAAAAATATAGATGCAAACATATTTCATATTAAAACTAACCCATTTTGGGCACTGCGGTTTGAAATGGCAATGGGTAATCTCTCACACTACTTTTCCCTGAATCGAGGTAGAGCTCAACTCAGCTTACGGAACTGCCCTAGAACAGTACTATTCAATATTGTTTCATTAATGCAGTTAACCCATACACGCCCATAGCAATGTGTTAAATAATTTCAATAATCACAGAGTTCAGCTTAGTTAATTTTCCTTCATAATTTGTTGAGAGATGACATTACCTTGAATTTTAAAAATAAAATTTATTTTTTATTTACCTCTAAGGTGCCCCATCCGGTGGCTGTCACTAAAGTGCCGCTCGATGGATTACCTCCTGAATTCACTAATTTCACCTCGCGCAAGGATTTCCCATTCAGTGAAAATGGTTTTTCAACTCGCACCAGAGCCACATCATTATCAGTATTATATGCATTGTAATTTGGGTGTCTCACTGCTTCTATTACCGAGTAAATCTCACCACCCATGTCGTGTCGATTAGAACCTGCTCGAATTGTGTAGTCTTTTCCAGAATATGTGTACCTGCGGAATAAATTACGTAGACACACGCATATTAATATATTTTTGATTAGATAACTATATATATATATATATATATATATATATAAAGTAATCTCTTCTACGACACATTCTTTGTATTATACAAAAATGTAGAATGCACATTTATGAAAAACTATACCGCGAAAAATAATATGCGTTTCCTTAAAATTCAAACTAAAAACGATTAAAGAATAAATAGAGTGTACAATTATAGCAAAATGGCAATAGGATAACCGTCCTGTGTATTATTGTCATGGCTATATTGACCTGCAGACCGACGCATTATACCGAACTGTGCAAGTCCGTCATTTTTGTCATAGGGCACATGCGTGTTACAGGAGATACTATAATTATTCTTCGTATTATGATAATAATTAAAGTTTATATTGATTTATGAAAAGAATTACATAAAAAAAAATATTATTGAAAATAAGTAGAAAAAAATATAACTTATTAGACGTTTTCTTGCCGTTTCTAGTCCTTACTATTTGCCCCGTTAGATGCAACAACCAGCCCCAGACTCCAAAAACAACTGTTACAACAAGCCCCTCGTTCTTCCACATATTATAAAAATCTTAATATTAGTTCACAAATTTTTATATTAATACTCTTTCAGCTGATTAGAATTATACAGAAATGTATAGAAGCATATAAATTACTCAAGACTCAATTGCGCAATTATTATTTAAATTCCAAATCTGGCAAATAATAATTAAGAGCAGTGTCAAGAAAAGAATATAATATGAAAATAATTGTAATGATAAAATACTTAGGGTAGGCAAATGTTTAAATAATTTGGAATAAAAATTAGAAAAAATATAAAAAAAGAAAAAATAATTGTGACTGTTTAAAGAAAAGTTATATCAGATATTACCAGTAGACATTTTATTATCAAAAGATTGTTCGATATCGAAATTGGCAAATTCACACGTATCGTAGAAACTTTGGGCTTTTAAAAGCTTGACGATAGTAGCGGAAAGTCCCGTAACGCCGGACGGCAGCAAGCACCGGACACTCTATTTAACACGTATTATTTAAGCGAGTATAAATCTTTTCATTTCAAAATATAGATGCAAGGGGCACGGGGGCACACAGGTACAGGATCACGCGCCAAGCCTCGCCTGTGACGCACACGGCGAGATCAACCCTTTCCTGTTTAGACGCAAAATCACGGTTTCACCTAAATGTCAATGGAGGTAATCTTAGCATATTTATGCATTTACATTTGAGTGGTATGCAAAGATAAAAGTTGTACTCGATCGTTATCCGTAAAATGGTAGAATATTATTAGATGGCAATATTTAATCAATTTTAGTAGGTGCCACCAAATGAACGAAAATGCCTGTCCCTTAGCACCGGACAGTAAGTTGTTTCTTGGTGCCGGACAGTAAACATATTGATATTTCTTGTGAGAATTTACGTAATTTATTTCAATTATTTAATTTTGTTCTGTATGAGTGCTAACGGTCACTACATACCCCTATTTTTCGTATTTCCTAGTCAAAGAATGAAAATCTTATGGTGAATGCACCAGCTGAGATCGTCAGTATGGCCTAGCCAAAGGGTGGATAAATAGTGATTTTTTTTTGCGATAGCTAAAAATATTCGTCAAAGACACATGTGCAGACATTTCAAAGTGTGGAAATGGCTACATATGTGATCAATGCAGGTTATTTTGAAATGTCCGGTACTAGGTGCCACTTTTTAAAATCATATTTTTTTATACCAAAGTTTGATTGATATTATTAATTATTTTTTAGCAAAGATTGCGGCTTTTTTAATTTAGTTTGATTTCTAACTTTGTTATCTAACATAAATCATAATTTAATAAATATTTCGTAAAATATTTTTTTGATTTATTTATAAATAACCTTAGGTGCCCGCCACTAGGAGACTTCCCCCTATAGTATTGTGAAGTTGACGATCACTCACGTGTGGTGGGAGTAGATTAAAAATGCAAACTAAGAAAAAAATGTTCTTAATGTTGTGTACTACACGCCAATTATATTTAAATTTAATACAAATATTATTCCTAATTTTGATGAATCCTGCAAGAAATTTGTAGTTCTTTGTAATATAAAGTGATTTGCTTAGTTAATTTCTCAATAGACATAATGCCTATTTTTCATTATTTTTGTAACCATATTTGAGATAGTATCGGAATCCAGTAGACGATTAATTTCATTCGCAGAATTTATAAAATATGTTTCGTAAAGATTTGTAAGGATTGAACTGAGGCAAATTATAATACATGGTTTTCGTTTCACGAAAAATAGCATCACGCATGTATATAATGACCTACTGATAATTAAGATCATGTTGATTTTATATTCACTTCTACCTTTATATTTAATTTGTATATCACGTTGATATTTGTTCAGTTCAAACTTGTGCAAGTTCATTAGGCGTTATAAAATATTATTCTTATAAATTTATTCATTATTATTAATAATTATATAATAAAACAATAATTATATGTTGTTATTTCGGAAATGTTCAAAACATATCAAATTAATTATTTGAATTTCACTACACTTCTAATATTGTCATTTTTATTTGCAACGTGCTATTCTTCTGATTTTGTGAAATATACAAAACTTGAACAGATACCACAAGTCAGGCAGCTTGCGCAAATCAAATTGCACTAGAATATTTTGGTCGAGGCATGATCATTTACTCAGTATCAATGATAGCAAATCAAACATCATCTTTAAATACTGTGGGACTGGACAGTCGTATTTTAAAAGGTATACATTCAAAACTACGATGGCAAGTTTTGACAAAATATGTTGCCTTGGATCATTCTCATTGGAAAATACATTTGGAACGCACTTCGGCGTACATATTACTAATACAATCACAAGAAGATTTTGAAGAAAACTTATTGCTTCTCCAAAACTTGCCAACATGGAACCCCGAAGCATATTTCATTATACTGTTTATTAATACTGATGATTTTCTAGATAATATAGTTATATACGTGATGCAAAAACTTTGGAGTTTATATGTGATCAATTGTGTGATATTGATGCCTGACGATTATGATATTCATACCTTTAATATTGTCACTTGGTTTCCTTATGAGAATGGAAGTTGCGGTGATGAATTGTTCAATTATACTGTTATAAATCATTGTGTGGATGGCAAAATGAAATACGAGGAAAATTTATTTCCAGTCAAAATACGCAACAATATGCTCGCATGTCCCATCAAAGTTATAGCGATTATTTGGCCGCCTTTTGTACTCCCAGTTAATGACTTGGAAGTAGAGGATGATGTGGACATACCATTCACTAATGGGTATGAAGTATTATTGTTGCAGGTCTTGGAAAAGTATTACAATTGCAGATTTGAGTTTCGATCGTTTTCAGTTCCTGAAAACTGGGGAATTGTGAGTGATAATGGAACATGCACTGGAATGTACGAGTATCTTTATCAACGGAAGGCAGATATTGCAATTGGCGGAAATTTTCCTGAATCTTCTATTCATAAATACTTTGATTACTCAACACATTATCTTCAAGATCCGCAAGTATTTGTGTTACCATTGGCTGGTCTTGCACCTGGATGGATGAACTTTTATAAAATTTTGCCACCCTTTGTATTTCTTGCTTCCACAAGTGCTCTTATTATCGCATCTGTGTTATTTTTCTTGTTAGCGAAACATAGTAATGATTATTCAATATTTAAAACTATAATTGGCTCCTTTTTGACTATGTATTCAATTGCATTGACAAATTTTATGGGTAAATTTCCTAGATATTATGTCTTGAGAATGCTTCTTGCATTTTGGTTTATTTTTAATGTAAATTTATATGCATATTTCAAATTGGTCTTATTAATACCTACACATTTCCTTTACAAGAATATCAAATTTCAAGTGAAGACGAAATAGTGCAAAGTGGTCTTGCCGTAGTAGGTATTGATACTACATTGTTCGTATTTTCACATAGCAACGATTCAAATTCTAAATATATTGTGGATCATTATAAAGAACTACCAGCAAAACGGTCCTTGGAATACATCGCCGATTTTAAAAATGTGACAACTTTTACAAGCCAACTTTTTCTGTCCTATGTTTCGGATGACCTAATACGTCAAGTTTATGTATCTGATAAACCCGTAATTAGTTTTCCAATAGAAATGTTATATGTAAAAGGATTTCCTTTCAAGACTAATTTTGATCGTGTCATATCTATATGTGTTGCAGCGGGATTGTTTGAAAAATGGAAATTACAGGTTCACGAATCAACACCGTTAATGAAACTGAAATATTGGACGATGATATTAAAATCAGAATAACATCGAGTGAAATTAGTGGAGCCTTTGTGTTGTTAATTATAGGCTATGCAATAGCAATAATTGTTTTTTATATATGAAGTGAGTCATAGTAAAAGAAAGAAAATACAAAAATTGTCAAGAAGATTTATGCGCCTTAACCTGAGAAATTTTAAACACATAAATACAATATGAAGAGTGTGCTTCAGATATTATCTTCTGAAATCAGTAACTAATGGGTTAATTTCGCCTGAATTATTATATGTCTTATTACTTCATTTTGTGTTAGTTAATCAAAAATAATAATTACGACAATATTTAGTCAATTACAATTATATTTTTACCTTGCCTATCTATAAATAACGATAGACAATTCTATGTTATAAAACAAGAGATGAATTCTAACAAAAGTATGTTTGAGCTAGAATGTCTGTTAGATATTTTTATAACTGGAGTTTATAAGAATTTCGATAGTGTAATGGATTATGTGACAATAAATAACAAATGTAAATCAAAATAATTTTTTTATCATTTCGCGGCTTAGAAATATGTTTTAGTAATAAAAGAATGATTTTAACCACAATAAAAGACAGAATGTTAGAATAGCAATTACCAAATCAAGATATTTAATTACAAATATCATAATTTCTAATAAATGTGTATAACATAAAAAAAATCTTTTGGAGTATGTTTATAATTATCTACTATCAAATTACTATATCCAATTATTCAAATGTGTTAAATTTAAATTAATGATTAGACATTATAAAACTGTGTAAATCACTATGATTCGAATAAATTCATAAAAAAATTAAAAAAAAAACTGAAGTAATCCAGATATTTTTACCATAGGTAAATTATTGTAATCGTCCACTTGCAATTGTAAAATTGAAATTAAAATGTTTGAATATCTATACGTTTCAGAAGTTTCTGATCATTTTGGCATACCTTATTATTAGAAAAATTGGATGTGCGAAATACAATTTTTCGTCGACGAATTCGGGCGTACCAAACAACGATTTGAATGAATTCTATTGATAAGACGACGGCTGATTATTTTCTGGCAAAAGCTGGTTCAGTCGTTTCGGAGATACAAAGCAAGAATACAGAAAATAAAAATCGAGTTTTTGAGAGAACAGGAGTTCCGATTTGAATGATCAAAAAAAAAACATCAATTCGCAATGATGGCGAGAAGTCGTGATTATTTTTGACAAAGACAGGTCTAGTCGTTTTGGAGATACGGAGTTATATGTTACAATTTTTTGAGATAATTTAGCATCCGAATGATTTAAAAACTTACTGCTTGTGTTGACGATTTTGGGGAAAATCTAACTAACTTCTTTTAATTCTAAAAATATTATTTTTGAATATAGAAAATAATTCGGATTTTAATTCTAATTCTAGCTAAAGCTCTAAACATCACTTATATACTTCAAATAAATAATTTTAACTTTGCAATTCAGTTTATATCATTCCTAAAAATATTGTGTTCTTTATTTTAAATCCGATTAGTAGGTTTTCTTCATTAACATTTTCATCAATATATGAACCTCGTTGTCCAATTTATAAACTTTTATATTTCGTCTATAAAATAAAAATAATGAAAGTTACAGCATTTATAATATCTATCTGAAAACTTTTAATTTTCCTTGAATATTTCATTACGGTATGGAAAGTTTCCAGCAATTTGCCTTAAACACGATGCAATACACCACTATTTTACTTTTAGGTGCAATATTATTATGTCCGGTTCTATTATACATTAAAGAGTATTTAATCAATTCCTGTTCATTCAAACTGAGAAATTATAGAAGCTTATTACTTATAATTTTAGTATTATACGCATGATTAAATGAGAAGATGTATGGATATTGCTGCAAACTATTAATATTACGATTATTTGAATATAATAAATATCTAAATAACACATT